GTGTAGTGTAATATAGTGTAGTGTAGTGTAGTCTAGTGTAGTCTAGTGTAGTCTAGTGTAGTGTAATTAGTGTACTTGAGTGTAGTGTCGTGTAGCGTATAGTAATGTAATTAGTGTAGTGTAATCCCTTCCTCCTAATACTAAACGTCCCCCTAATACTAAAAACAGGCATCCATCTCCAATTTCCGAAAATTTCAGTTTGGCAAATTTGACTTTTAATTGATCCCCTTTAAAAAACAATTCAAAAATCAACCTACCATTTGTGGGTTCTCCCCCCTAATACTAAAAACTAGTTCACCCCGGGGTGTTTAGTATTAGGGGGGCCTAGTCCCAATCCCTCACTCCAAGCTGCCTAGCTACTCTAGCAGTTAGGGGTAAGCTTCTAACTGCCATTTTTGGCAATATTTTAATTGCGTTATATAAGGAAATTTAATTGATTTTGAGATCGGAAAAAATAGTTTTTAGCATTAAGGGTTTTAATTTAGTATTAGGGGTAAGCTTCGAACTGCCATTTTTGGCAATATTTTAATTGCGTTATATAAGGAAATTTAATTGATTTTGAGATCGGAAAAAATAGTTTTTAGCATTAAGGGTTTTAATTTAGTATTAGGGGTAAGCTTCGAACTGCCATTTTTGGCAATATTTTAATTGCGTTATATAAAGAAATTTAATTGATTTTGAGATCGGAAAAAATAGTTTTTAGTATTAAGGGTTTTAATTTAGTATTAGGGGTAAGCTTCGAACTGCCATTTGGTTCCCTAATAATAAATACCCCCCTAATACTAAAAACTACCTGCCGTGTTTTGTATTAGGGGGGGGGTTTAGTATTAGGAGGAAGGGATTAGTTGTAGTTGTAGCTGTAGTTGTTGTAGTTGTAGTTGTAGTTGTTGTTGTAGTGCAGTGTGACGTAGTATGGTCCGAACATGTGGTGTTTTTAACATTTTTTAACATGTTGACTTGGAAATGTGCTTCGCGCCACAACGGCGTGCACTTTTTCGATATCTCAGCTTCCAAAAGTGCCCCGAGCATGGTGTGCGTTGTACGTTTTGACTTGGAAATGTGCTTGGCGCCACCACGGCGTGCACTTTTTCGATGTCTCAACTTCCAAGAGTGTTCCGACATCTCAACTTTAAAAAATGCTCCGAAGCTGAGGTTTTGTACATTTTGGCTTCGAAATGTTCTTCGGGCCACAACGGCGTGCAATAGTGCAATTTTTCATGTCTCATCTGGCCAGATGGCTCTGCACCCGCCGCTTTAGCGAGCCTACTTTTCGACCCTCCTGAGCCACAAATCATTGGAAAAACACAGTGATTCGCGACTTTTCTACCTTTTCGCGCACCTGCATCTTCGTTCTTCTGACTCTTTCTCTTCTCTGATCTTCTTGCTTCTTCTCTGCTCTTCTCTGACCCTTCCCACCTCTGCTTTTCCATCTGTCCATATTGCCGTTACTTCCTTCGATTATCAAAGGAAGTTGGGAAGCAATACTTCCGTGTTACGGACAAATAGAATTCTGAGACTTGAAATGATGAAGGGTGGTGCGCGATTGAGACTTGACCTTGATGAAGGGTGGTGTGAGACTTTACATGACATAACAATACATCACATTGAGACTTGACCTTGATGAAGGGTGGTGTGAGACTTTTCATGACATAACAATACATCACATTGAGACTTGACCTTGATGAAGGGTGGTGTGAGACTTTACATGACATAACAATACATCACATTGAGACTTGACATTGATGAAGGGTGGTGTGAGACTTTTCATGACATAACAATACATCACGATGAGACTTGACCTTGAGGAAGGGTGGTGTGAGACTTTACATGAAGGGTGGTGTGAGAGTACATGAAGGGTGACGAAGGGAAGTGGTGACGAAGGGAAGCGGTGACGAAGGGAAGTGGTGACGATGGGAAGTGGTGACGAAGGGAAGTGGTGACGATGGGAAGTGGTGACGAAGGGAAGTGGTGACGAAGGGAAGTGGTGACGATGGGAAGTGGACGGAGGGAAGTGGTGACGATGGGAAGTGGTGACGAAGGGAAGTGGTGACGAAGGGAAGTGGTGACGATGGGAAGTGGTGACGAAGGGAAGTGATGATGAAGGGGAGTGGTGACGAAGGGAAGTGGTGACGAAGGGAAGTGATGATGAAGGGGAGTGGTGACGAAGGGAAGTGGTGAAGAAGGGAAGTGGTGACGAAGGGAAGTGGTGACGAAGGGAAGTGGTGACGAAGGGAAGTGGTGAGGAAGGGAAGTGGTGAGGAAGCGGGGTGGTGACGATGGGAAGTGGTGAGGAAGGGAAGCGGTGACGAAGGCAAGTGGTGAGTTGGGGAGGAAGCCGGAGCACGAAACCTTGTGTTTTTCCGTGTAAAATGGCTGCAGCCGGCGATGAAAGGTACCTCGTCTGTGCGGCGGGTGCGGCTGGGGTCGTTTCATGCGCGAATTGTTCCTCCTATGTGTTTTGCAACGAGTGGTTGTTCCTGTGTGCGTAGTTCTATGCGGTTCTTGAATCTCTGGTTGCATGATCGCATTGGAATGGCTGCATGAATGTTGCATGGGCTATGTTTTGGGGAGGAAGCCGGAGCACGAAACCTTGTGTTTTTCCGTGTAAAGTGGCTGCAGCCGGCGATGAAAGGTACCTCGTCTGTGCAGCGGGTGTGGCTGGGGTCGTTTCTGTCGCGAATTGTTCCTCCTATGTGTTTTGCAACGAGTGGTTGTTCCTGTGTGCGTAGTTCTATGCGGTTCTTGAAGCTGTGGTTGCAGATCGCATTGGAATGGCTGCGTGAATGTTGCATGGGCTATGTTTTGGGGAGGAAGCCGGAGCACGTCACGAAACCTTGTGTTTTTCCGTGTAAAGTGGCTGCAGCCGGCGATGAAAGGTATCTCGTCTGTGCGGCGGGTGCGGCTGGGGTCGTTTCTGTCGCGAATTGTTCCTCCTATGTGTTTTGCAACGAGTGGTTGTTCCTGTGTGCGTAGTTCTATTCGGTTCTTGAATCTCTGGTTGCATGATCGCATTGGAATGGCTGCATGAATGTTGCATGGGTTATGTTTTGGGGAGGAAGCCGGAGCACGAAACCTTGTGTTTTTCCGTGTAAAGTGGCTGCAGCCGGCGATGAAAGGTACCTCGTCTGTGCGGCGGGTGCGGCTGGGGTCGTTTCATGCGCGAATTGTTCCTCCTATGTGTTTTGCAACGAGTGGTTGTTCCTGTGTGCGTAGTTCTATGCGGTTCTCGAATCTCTGGTTGCAGATTGCATTGGAATGGCTGCATGAATGTTGCATGGGCTATGTTTTGGGGAGGAAGCCGGAGCACGAAACCTTGTGTTTTTCCGTGTAAAGTGGCTGCATGCGTAATACTATTGCCTTTTGCAGCTGAGCATCGTAAATCGTATTGGAATGGCTGCATCCACGCTGCGATAGTGATTTGTCAGCAGATTTTCTCAACTTTGGCGCTAGTAATTTTCCTTTAAAAATTCCTTTTAAAAAGCGCTTCAAAATTGTCTTTTTGTCGCTTTGGCGTCGAGATCCGGTTTTGGAGCTGCAATTTCCGACGCCGTTGCGCGTAGTTCTATTGTGTTTTGCAACTCAGTCTTTGCAGATCGCATTGGGATGGCTGCGTCAGGGTTGCTTGGCGCAGCGGCTGCATGCGTAATACTATTGTCTTTTGCAGCTGAAGATCGTAAATCGTATTGGAGTGGGTGCATCAAGGCTGCGACAGTGATTAGTAGTACTGGGAAGTGATTCATGAAAGCTTAGATGACATATGAGAAGAGATGAGATGAGAAGAGATGAGCTGGGATAAGGTGAGAAGGGCTCAAGATGAGATGAAGTGTGAAGTGTGAAGAGTGCAGTGTGAAGCGTGGGGCGTGAAGGGTGCAGTGTGAAGTGTGAAGTGTGAAGTTTGGAGTGTGAAGAAAACAGTGAGAAGTGAGAAGTGTGGACTGTGAAGTGTGAAGTGTGAAGTGTGGACTGTGAAGTGTGAAGTTTGGAGTGCGAAGAGTGCAGTGTGACGTGTGAAGTGCGGAGTGTGAAGTGTGGAGTGTGAAGTGTGAAGTGTGGAGTCTTAAGAGTGCAGTGTGAACTGTGGAGTGTGAAGTGTGTAGTGTGGAGTGTGAAGACTGCAGTGAGAAGTGCGAAGTGCGAAATGGAGCTTCAAATGTGACATGTGAAACAAGACATCAGTTCCGCAGAGTGCACGCACGCACCGGCTTGGCTGGCGCACGGCGCAGGCAAGTTCTATAGATGAGAAAGGTCTATATATATCTTTAAGGCAACTTCCGCCCCGCCTCGTGCGGGTACTACTGGTATATATATATATATATATACATATACATATACATATACATATATACAAAGTATCAGTATAGAAAAATAGTTTCCATAGCTAAGCATAGCTATGATAGATTCACAGAGAGTATCACACCGTCTCAGAGATTGACTGCAGACCGAGCACTAGAAGTTGAGGAAGTAGAGCTTAACGAAGTGCTGGTCACTGATGTGCGAGTGGACGAGATGCTGGAACTTGTACCTCACCAACAGGCACTGCAGCTGCATCCGTTGAGGCATGCAGCATCTGATTTTCTAAATCCCAAGCTCCAAGAAAGTGGGGCTACCCGGCTACCCTTGGAATCGGAATAATCTGCCTTCATTGCGCAATATTGCGCACCTTTCCTCAAACATCTCAGGCCCTCAGGGGGAAAAAACTTGCCACGGTGCTGGTGGTGGAGGAGGTCTGAGAAGCAGTTGAAGATGTTGAAGTCATGGATGTTGAAGTGGTCAAGGATGAGGAAGAGGATGTAGCAGTGACCTCATTCTGTCACCGGTACCAGTTCCCATCATCCAAGATGGTAAAAAGGCATGGTAGTTTGATGGCATTGGGTGAATCCCACACAAGCATCTCCATTTCCCAGTGACCAAGAACTAGTTGGACATCTTTTAAGAAATTCTGGATCCATTGGATGCCCCTGGATGCCCCCCCAGTGCTGTCAGTTGGGAAATCCAGTGACACTTTGAGAGGTGCTACTGGAAGAGCTGGAGACTGAGCTGCTGAAAGTCGAACTTGAGGAGGTGGAAGAGGTAGCCTGGTGGGCTGAGCCAGGCGTTTGCCCAAAAATCAGCTGAAAAAGTGCGGATCGTCATTCTATCTCTGTGAGTGAAAACAGAAAAACATGAAACCACCAACTAGTAGCTGATAATGACGTTGTAGATCTTGTTGTGGTGAATGAGGTGGTCTTGGAAACAGATGTTGTCGTAGTGACTGTTGTCGTCACATTCGTGGTGCTGGTCAATGATGTGAACGAGGTGGACCTGGTGGGTGAAAACAAACACCAACCATCCCAAAGTTTCTGTGTTTGCGACTTGTGATCATCATCCCTTTGTTGGATGGAAAATGAAAGATTTGAACACAACCAAAAATTCATTGAAACCAATCAGGGACGATATTGTAGCTGTGGTCATCGTTGTTTCTGTCGACGTCGTCGTGTTCGAAGCTGAGGTTGACGTCCAGCTACTGGACGATGAACTGCTCGACATGCTAGTGCTCGACGAGCTAGTGCTCGACATGCTAGTGCTCGACGAGCGAGTGCTCGACATGCTAGTGCTCGACGAGCGAGTGCTCGACATGCTAGTGCTCGACGTGGCCGTGCCTTGGATGTGCACGCCAATATACATGTCGCGTTTACAAATAGAATACATGTATATATATATATGTGTGTGTGTTTATGTATATGTGAATGTATGTTTTCTATATATATAAGTTGATACATGTGAGTTACATATATATATATATGGGTATGTATGTGTATATATATATGTATATATATAGTGTATACAAATCAAATATATGTTTAATACATATATATAAGTTATAATATATATATTTATATATATATATAGCAAGTCACCAACCTGAAAATACCTAGAGTTCGGCCATTTTGCGATAGTTGCCCCAATTCACTTGCCATAATTGCAGTGATGTCGCACTGAGGGCGCTTCAATCTATCCAGATATATGAAGGTGCCATAAATCCAGGAATTAAACATCTACAAGGGAGGAAGACAAAGGCCTTCGGCTTTTTTCGTGGCTTTGGAACCCATATCTTTCGCAACATGAAAAATCATTTTGGGCTACAAAATTTCAATCGGGGTTGGCGTATGTGTAAGCATGTACCCTGACAAATATTCTGACATTGTTTCTGACAGACCGTCTGGGAGTATATACGGCATATATATTCTGACATTCTATCTGACAATATCCGACATTCTTTCTGGCATATACTTTGACATTCTATCCAACATTCTAGATCTAGCATATACTCTAGCAATCTCTAGCATTCTATCTGTCATTCTTTCTTGCATATACTCTGACATCTTTCAAGCATTCATTCTGGCATTCTATCCGACATCTATTCTGACATTTTACCTTTCATTCTATTTGTTTTTTTTTGGCATTCTATTCAGGCACTCTTTCTAGCACTCTATCTGACGTTTTACGCCGGCATTCTATCTGGCATTTATACTAACATTCTCTCTGACAAGGGCGCTGCCGGACCTGCGCACTGCCCGCTGGGATCCGGAGCTCGCAGTTGAGCTCCGGCAGTGCCCACTGAGATCTGGAGCTCGCGGTTGTCGGTTGCCCAATTGATCTTATCAACCATCTGGGGGCTAGAATGCATTATCCAGAGACATGCACAAGTTCATAAACCACAAATTGAGATGCTTTGGGCTGGTGGATCCCCAAATTGCATCAAATTACTTTCTGGCCGGAAATTTTGGATAGATTCAACTACTTTAGATGTTCGAAAAATGGCCGCACAAATCCAAATTGCTTATGTTTCGGTCCAATCTCTATTTGGGTTTTCTAAGCTCTACTCTGCTAGTCGATAAAACTCAATAAACGGGTATAACTATGGTACAACATGGTATGACCTCCCAGTGGGTTCACTCGAACCGGGCTGCTGGACCATGTGGTGCTGCTGGTGACTGTGGTTAAAATCGTGGTCGTCGTCCCGACGGGGTCCCAGACCCAGGTATCCTGGATCGCCGTGCCGCAGGAGCTACCCTCCGGTAGGGTACGGCTGGGGCCAATGGAAAATGTTGGAAATGGATCTGGCTAAAGCATGTCATAATATAATAGCACACAAGATACACAAGATTCTATAATAATTGATCTGGATGATGGCAAGGACATACAATCCATATGGAATCGCAAAGCTGAAAAGTTCGGATTAATTACTCGTAAACATCATTGATTTCTATAGCGGGGTTGCCATGTGAGTGAGGTGAGATCCACAAATTTTAGCCAGGATGGCTCGCACACGCTCCATGCCAGTGGTGGGCGCGCCACACATCCTAAAATGTTCGTCCTCATGTCATCTGTGATCATGTTTGGGAAACCACAAGGTAATTAGAGAACCAAAACCGCCAATCAAATCCTGACTCTACTGCAATCCCTTTATGGTTGTTTATGGCATGCGGCTGATACGGCGCCCTTGGAAGGCTTGCCAATTTTGAGATGTGACAGTTACTATCCCTTGGAAGGGTTGCAAATTTCAAAAATGAGGCTTGCGCAAATGGGGGTATAGGATTTGATTTTGAGTTTTTAACATGTTACACATGCTGTCGTAGGATCATCAGGGTGGGGGTGGAGGGTGGGGGGTGAGGGGTGTGTATGAACGTTCTTGACGAGCACTTCCTTTACGTTGCGGAAGATGCACACGTTGCACATGCTGTCGTATGATCATCAGAGGGGGGTGGGGGTGAAGAGGGGCACTAGCGTCTAGTATACCAGCTAGAGCGTCTTTCCAAGACAGCTTCACACCCTTTTGACTCACGGCGTATGCCAGTCGGTGCGGTGTCTACAGGATTACTCTATATCTCTCTCTTGAGCCTTGACAAGCGTATATAAAGGGTGCTCAATACTCATGCTATGTCCACGTAGGATTCAAGCCCAAATAAAAACACAGGCACAAATTCAATACTGTACTACGCTATGGCAAACCTGCAAAAACTGAGCGGAAGTCACGCATTGGTGTCTTTACGAAAATAGCGGATGCAAGCGGATTGAAAAATCAAACAATGTCCTAGGGACATGTCGACATGAAAACAGCGGATTCGTGCTAATTATTTTTCTCCACGACCATGGTGCAATGTGCACGGTCGTTCAAGGCAAAATGCTCCACCGGTGTGAAAAGTTCATCTTCAAAAGTTCGGATTCGCAAGATTCAGAAAATGAGGTCAGATGGAAAACAGTTGGCCGAATCACAAAATAAACGAATCACAAAATAAACGGACACAGCGGATCTCCAAAGTCGCTCATTCAAGCAAACAATGGGCAAAATTCGGAGTTGGTAAAATGTTGGTTCGCTCCATTCGGACAGCTGGACATGGCGTCACAACGCTGCCTTGTTGCAGACTGTGGCTTCTGCTCTGCCACAAGCGCTCTGGCACCGCTAGCGTCGAGAAGAGGAAAAAATTAAAGGACCGGATAACCCCACAAGTCAACTTCTTCCAATACTGAGCTTCAAAGGTTGTAGCGGGGACGGGGAAGGAAGGAAAGACAAAGGAGGTGGTGAAAGACTGTGTGTGAAAGTATGTGAAAAGATAGTATGCATGTACGTACGTACGTACGTACGTACGTACGTATGTATGTATGTGTCAGTGAGCTCATGTGTATGTGTGTGACAAAGTTGCGCGTGAAAGATGGTGTGTGAAAGTGACGTGAGCGCGCGACAGTGCAGACTTTTTTGCCAGCGCTGCAAAGTCATCTGCTCTGCATGCGGCAGCACTGCGGACCTGGAATGGGCTGAATGAGGTGTTCCATGATCTTCTGTGCTCCATGTGGTGCAACGAGATGTGCTACGTGACAGCCGCGCCTGTCCTACAGCCATGAATCCGACGATGATGACATAGAGGAAAGGTACCTGGCCGCAAAAGTGTAGAACACGAATGTAGCTGGTTGTCAATGCAACTATGTCCAAGCACGCCACTGAGTGCCATGAGTGCCACGCCTGCCACGCAAAACGAAGGTGGATGTGAGATTGTCAAACGCCGCGGCGTCACGGGCGTCACGGGCGTCACGGGCGACTAAACCAAGTCCAAGCGCGCCACTGAGTGCCATGAGTGCCACGCCTGCCACGCGAAACGAAAGTGAATGTGAGATTGTGCCACGCCTGCCACGCAAAACGAAGGTGAATGTGAGATTGTGCCACGCCTGCCACGCAAAATGCCGCGGCGTCACGGGCGTCACGGGCGACTAAACCAACTCCAAGCGCGCCACTGAGTGCCATGAGTACCACGCCTGCCACGCGAAACGAAGGTGGATGTGAGATTGTGCAACGCCTGCCACGCAAAACGAAGGTGGATGTGAGATTGTGCCACGCCTGCCATGTGAGAGATGGTAGCAGAACGAAGGTGGATGTGAGATTGTGCCACGCCTGCCACGCAAAACGAAGGTGGATGTGAGATTGTGCCACGCCTGCCACGCAAAACGACGGTGGATGTGAGGTTGTGCCACGCCTGCCACGCAAAATGCCGCGGCCTCACGGGCGTCACGGGCGACTAAACCAAGTCCAAGCGCGCCACTGCGTGCCATGAGTGCCACGCCTGCCACGCGAAACGAAGGTGGATGTGAGATTGTGCCACGCCTGCCACGCAAAACGACGGTGGATGTGAGATTGCGCCACGCCTGCCACGCAAAATGCTGCGGCGTCACGGGCGGCATCACGGGCGACTAAACCAAGTCCAAGCGCGCCACTGAGTGCCATGAGTGCCACGCCTGCCACGCGAAACGAAGGTGGATGTGAGATTGTGCCACGCCTGCCACGCCTGCCACGCAAAATGCCGCGGCGTCATGGGCGTCACGGGACCCTAAACCAAGTCCAAGCGCGCCACTGCGTGCCATGAGTGCCACGGCTGCCACGCGAAAAGAAGGTGGATGTGAGATTGCCACGCAAAACGAAGATGGATGTGAGATTGTGCCACGCCTGCCACGCAAAATGCCGCGGCGTCACGGGCGTCACGGGCGACTAAACCAAGTCCAAGCGCGCCACTGAGTGCCATGAGTGCCACGCCTGCCACGCGAAACGAAGGTGGATGTGAGATTGTGCCACGCCTGCCACACAAAACGACGGTGGATGTGAGATTGTGCCACGCCTGCCACGCAAAATGCCGCGGCGTCACGGGCGTCACGGGCGACTAAACCAAGTCCAAGCGCGCCACTGAGTGCCATGAGTGCCACGTCTGCCACGCGAAACGAAGGTGGATGTGAGATTGTGCCACGCCTGCCACGCAAAACGAAGATGGATGTGAGATTGTGCCACGCCTGCACGCAAAATGCCGCGGCGTCACGGGCGTCACGGGCGTCACGGGCGACTAAACCAAGTCCAAGCGCGCCACTGAGTGCCATGAGTGCCACGCCTGCCACGCGAAACGAAGGTGGATGTGAGATTGTGCCACGCCTGCCACGCAAAACGAAGGTGGGTGTGAGATTGTGCCACGCCTGCCACGCAAAATGCCGCGGCGTCACGAAAGTCCCGCGGCGTCATGGATGCGAGATTATTGTGCCAAAGTATGTGACAAAGTTGTATGTGAAAGATGGTGTGTGACAAAGCTGCGTGTGAAAGATGGTGTGTGACAAAGTTGTGTGTGAAAGATGGTGTGTGACAAAGTTGTGTGTGAAAGATAGTGTGTGACAAAGTTGTATGTGAAAGATGGTATGTGACAAAGTTGTATGTGACAGGTGGTGTGTGACAAAGTTGTGTGTGAAAGATGGTGTGTGACAAAGTTGTGTGAAAGATAGTGTGTGACAAAGCTGTATGCGAAAGATGGTGTGTGACAAAGTTGTATGTGAAAGATGGTGGTTGACAAAGTTGTATGGGAAAGATGGTGGTTGACAAAGTTGTATGTGAAAGATTGTGTGTGACAAAGTTGTGTGGGAAAGATAGTGTGTGACAAAGTTGTATGTGAAAGATGGTATGTGACAAAGTTGTGTGTGAAAGATGGTGTGTGACAAAGTTGTGTGTGAAAGATAGTGTGTGACAAAGTTGTATGTGAAAGATGGTTTGTGACAAAGTTGTATGTGAAAGATGGTGGTTGACAAAGTTGTATGGGAAAGATGGTGGTTGACAAAGTTGTATGTGAAAGATGGTGTGTGACAAAGTTGTGTGGGAAAGATAGTGTGTGTGTGACAAAGTTGTGTGTGAAAGATGGTGTGTGACAAAGTTGTATGTGAAAGATGGTGTGTGACAAAGTTGTATGTGAAAGATTGTGTGTGACAGGAGGGAGGAGGAGGAGGAGGAGGAGGCGGGAGGCACCCGGGATACAGAATCAAAAACAAGAACCCCACACAAAGTTGTGGGGAACTGGGAGAGTGAATGCCGCCCTGATATGATTCGGATGATTGAAAATCATAGGTTTCTAATTTCTTTTTGGACCCTTGAAGAGCAAAATCGAGTCCCCGCGCAGGCGAAACGCAAATTTTCACTCTTGAGTCACACGCCTGCCAATCGAAATGAATGTCCATGTTGCAGTTGCAAACATTTTTTGACGACTCCTGCAAATACCAGCATTTTGTCTCTTACCCTCAAAAATCAGAATTTCAAATTCGTCACCCTTATAAGGGCGCCGAGTCAACCGGTTGCCTTGTTTATGGATTCCAGTATAATTATACCTGACCAGCTGACCATAGCTGACCCACCGCATTCCTGGGTTTTGCACAGTCAGATCTAGTGACTCATTTCCAACAATCATGATCTCCCCATAGTTGCTTTATGAGAAATCTAGCCACAAGTCTCACTTCCCATCAATCCGACACCAATGGACACCACATGTGGTCCATCCCAGTGGCCGAAGTCACTTCCCAGGTCTTCCCAGGTCTTCCCAGGTCCTGGAGGACTGCCACATTGCTATGGCCTCCAAACAAGACCAACATGTAGCCGTAGGGATCCCACACCGCTGCCGAGCCGGTGCGCCCCGAGGGCCGGTCCCAGCCCGGATCCGCCTGCCTTGGGGAAGGGGAAAAGCCGTTGGAAGCAGCCGTTGGAACCAACGAAACATGGAATTTAATGTGATTTAGTCTTCAAAAATGTGGTATAAAACCATTGACCTTCCTAAAAATCAAAAAAAATGGTCTGAAAATAGGCTACATATGGCTACATAATACATATGGCTACAGATGCAAATCCACTGCTTCAAAAGTTCATTTTCCCTATGATTCTTTCTGAAGTGTATATACTACACCCCTTTTTCAGACAGACTCATCTTCCAAAGCTGTCCAAAGTTTCCAAAACCCGTTCCTCGAAACGAAGAGAGAATAAGTTACCCTCCGGTCATCAAACATGGCAAAAGAACATCGTTGATTTATAGATGATGTTCCCATGAAAAACCTTAATTTTTGTGGGTATTTCCGCTATGATTGATGACAGCGGAGGGTACTGAAAAATGGTTTAAACTCGAAGCCGCAAATATAACCAGCTGCCGTCTGATTGACCTTGGCAGGTGGTGAACACCAAACGGGACGCCGGTGGATAATGGCGGAGGTTCAACCCTCAAAGCCTGGTATAAAGTGGCAAATAATAGTAGGACTTGATATGCTTTGACGTCTTTGATCATGTTTGACCCATGTTTGACATCACAAAAACTTGGGTTGTCTAACCCAGCTCTGGCCACTGACAATCCACAAGTCCGCTTGCAAACATGGCTCCCATCTTGAGATTAGTCGATCATGGACACCATGGTCCCAGTGAGGCGAGCCTACTGATGGATTCCGTTGGTATATTGCTTGAAAACCACTGACATCACCAGTGGTTTGTATACATTAGACATTTCCATCCACAAACATGCTCCTGCCACACGATTCGGAAGCCCACGTGATGCCAATTTCTTGCAGTTGATTACACTGACTACAGAAAGTTAGCTGCTCAAATGGCACTTGCGATAAAGCAAAAGGTTGAATCACTTGATATACCATACACAAGTATACGCGAGTGACATAAATTCACATCATTTTCAAATATATGCAAGCATACATGGGCATTTTATACAGGCATCTTAAAAATACAATATACAAGCCAGCAAGCCAGCAAGCAAGCAAGCAGCAGCAACCAGCATATGCCCCCTTGAAAGAATGATCAAATATTATAAGTACTCAAAATTGCCGCAATACAGAAATGAAACTTTTTCCAGGCACACGGCTCCATAACAATGAAATGCTACACTTATTGAAAGTTGTGATGATGCCCAAATTGAACTTTTCCAGGCCCCCGCCCTCCCGATAAGACTTTAAACGAGCTGATACGACTTAGCCCGAGCGTTAGTATTTGCAATATTTACAAATATCGAGAAACAACTAGACAGATAGACGACCAATATAGAGAGTTGCGTTGTTGCCCTTACCTAAAGCCTAAGGCGGTGTTGTGATGTTGAACCATGTCTTCAACATATGTTCGGAAATATGCAGTGTTTCCAGTGCGCCGTAAGTTAAGGCTCAAGTGAAACAGTGAAACCCAAAAGAACACCAAATTGCGCACGCCCTAAATAAACCAACCCTAAGAACCCCCAAACCAACCCATGTAAATAATTATAAAATATTATAAACCCTAAACATCCCTAAACCAACCCTCAACCCACAGCGGCTAAACCCCCAATGAAACTTCGGCATCGTGATTGCCCAGGCGGACCAGGCACAGTATTGCCATAGATCCTCCAATTTTCCAGCAGCAGAAACTCCGCCGGTGATCAGCATGCAGTACTTGGATGGCGAAAAAGGCGGTCAGCAGAGGGGGTTCGGCACCAAAACTGTAAACGACAAAAACGTATTGAAAAAATGATGATTTCGCCAATCTCACCTCTCTTTAACCTCTTCTCAACCTCTTCTCACCCTCTTTGTCAACCTCCTTCTCACCTCTGCTCTCCTCTTGTCTGCTCTCCTCCGCTCGACCCTACGCTCTCAACACTCCACTCTACTCAACACTCTACTCTGCTCAACACGCTACGCTACTCTACTCAGCATTACTCAGCCTACTGGACTTAAGACTTCCGACTTATTTCTCTGCTTCAGGTTGAGCTGACTCTACTCTACTCTACATACTCTACACTATTCTGCTCTACTCTACTCAGCCCCCTGGACTTGAGACTTCCTCGGTGCAACCAGCCAACTGGACTTAAGACTTCTGGGCTACTGCTCGTTTGAATGTTCTCTCTCTCTCTCTCAGAGTTTCTCTGCGAAACTTCTTTTAATGATATATAGATTTGGTCTCTCAGTTTTTCAGGCCAACCATCGTTTGTTGCTATTTGGATGTGCATCCCAGAACTGTGGAGCTAGAGCCTAGAGGTATCCATCAATACACTAGCCATTTGGCCATGTACGATTCCCGGGATGCTATCTGGTGAAGAATGTGAACACATGCAGTGCAACATACCGCCTGAAAATGAGGCCAGCGACTCCGGAATTTAGCACTGGTATGCATTTGTATTGAAGTTTCGGGGCCTAAGGATTAACAGTTCGGAGAATCAATGCATATCAATGCCCTTTCAAGATACGATGCTTTCTCTGTTGCCTTTGCAGCACGCTTATTTGAAAAAATCTAGTGTTGCATTGTTAAACTCCCTGGGATTTGCGTGGAATATTTATGAATATTTACCCCCAATCTTCCCCAGTAACCGCGAAACCAGTCCCAGGATCGCCATCGAAAACGGCCGTGTGCCGCGCACGGGCCTGAGGGACTTCAGATGGGCGAGTTTCCTGGCGATCGCCGGCGATCTTCCAACGTGCTTCTACCGATCAATTACAGCAACATACTGTTGAAACATGTTGAAACCCTAAAAATAATGGGATACAAAACATCTATCAACTGGTGCAGGATTTCTTGCATCCACAGTATGTTGGCTATAAATGCGATTGACCTTCACTGGGACCCTGGCAAAATTGATGAAAATTGGCCGCTCAAGCAAGAGGTCGGCCCACCTGAGCCCCTGAAGAACTAACCCTCTGCCCAACCCGGCCTCGATCCAATAGTTGCCTGAAAAGTGGTACCTTAGCTTCAATGTGAGGTTCAACGGTTCAATCGCCTTTGCAGGCCCCCTGATTGTAGGATGATACTTCAGAAAAAGGCGGAGAAACCGTTCACATCAGCGTCTGCCATCCCAGGATGTACAGAAAACTGGAGGACTGACTGGAGGCTCAATTTCCCAAACAGCCCCAAGATTCCCCAAGTATGTTCTCAAACCTCCCAACTAGAGTTTTAAAAAACAGGTCAGGATGGGTGATCCACAAAAGGTCCGCCCCTACTTGGGAAGAGTTCCATAATTGGATTCTTCGAAAGGTGCCTGGCAAGTTCAAGGGGCTTTCAGGGACCCCTTTGATCTTTTCAAGGTGAATCATTGTTAGATTTTCATGGGTGTCCATTGATGCCCACTGGTTTCCGCTGATGAATTTCCGGGATTGTTCCCCTTCAATCCGCCGGAATCAAAGGTGGTTTCTGAAGCTGCCAAGATACTCCCACGTATCACTAAAGTAATTTCCGGCGTCATCTTCGCCGCCATGCACCTCATCTGAGAAAGCGGATGAAGACATTGGCCGTTTTTGAGGGGCTGATTTCTATTAAACGGACCCTTGTTTGTTACAATGAACATTGCATTTTCCTGAACATGTTTTCCCTCCAGGTCTTGGGATAGAATTTGTTGAGCAAAATGTAGAGTCGAAGTAAAAGAACCCTTGAAAGACCTGTGCTGGTTGGGATTTTAGGACCTCGCATCCTGCTGGTTGCTGCTAAAACAATCATTCTCTCTGATTGCTTGGTGTAAAACAATACCAATATTTTCTGACATACTGCAAAGATGCACTTCCCACCTGTGTCAAAATCACTAGCGTATTATACCCGATTTATGACTGAAAATGACCATCAATCATGTCATATACTAGGGTGCCTCAAATCTCAATCACAAGCTTTGGAGGGACTCACCTGTATTCACCACTATTTCAGGTAGTGCTTAAGCTCCTGAAACCGGAAAATAATATACACAGAGACAACAAACTTCTCGGTTGTTTCATCCGCAAGTACCGCGAAGGAACTGTCTGATATCATTGGCCCGGGTTAAGTGCCTCATCCGGGGTGGCGTTGTCAGACAAGCAACAAGCATCACTCCATGGGCATCATCGTACACAGCCACATGTCGCGACCGCGCGGAAGGACTGGAGGATGGTTGCTCTGGACTGATCCAATAGTATGATCCTGGCCGTCCACTGATGCTGATGGAGCGAACTCCTGACCCCATCATGACTTCATGTCATGATGCGTGAAGATTCCTAGCCTCCAGCGATATGGCAATTGAAAACATTATAATTATACATGGGATTCCGATAAGGAAGTTTGATTGCCAAAGGGTAAGCCTGATGTGAGGCCATGAATTGATGGTGTCCATGGAGAACAATCAATCGGGGCCAGAATAATTCCTAATCAGCAGCGCCCCCGGTTGTCCCCATGATCTCCAATGATCCAATCATGATCCAAATGTCATAATACGCGGTGAACGCAACAATCAAATTAAACAATCCCCGCATACCCAAAAGGATTGTAGAATCGATCATGTCCCCTAGTTGGAGGTTTTCGAACGGTGTTTACAATAAATTCCAATTTTTTCCAAGCCGCCGCTAAAATCCTGGTAGTACGAGATCGTGTTGGTCAATGAGACGACTGCTTCTATTGAGTGATAACCTACCAAAGTGGCCAGTGGCTAGCCCCAAGAAGCATGGACAGAAACCAAGTCGGGCCAAAAAAAATGCTGCCTCTTGCCGCGATGTGCCTCCCCATCAATTTTGATAAAATTTGTTTCAGGCAATCTAGAAGGGCATTGCCATGGTGTGATGCAGACATGTCGGAACCGTGATC